AACAAATATAAATGTATAAATATATATTTTAAGGATATTTATAAGCATTATTTAATAATAATGTGAATCATATATGAAATTTATAGAATTGTTTTAATATGAAGTTTGTATGAGTAATATTATAATATTTTTAATAGGTTTTTTATTATTTGAGGCTTCACCTTTTAGATTTTAGGTTTCATCATTTAGATTTCAGGTTTCAGGTTTCAGGTTTCAGGTTTCAGGTTTCAGGTTTCAGGTTTCAGGTTTCAGGTTTCAGGTAAAAAAAAAAAAAAAAAAAAAAAAAAAAAATACATTAATAAAAAAAAAGTTGATAATACATAAAAAAAAATTAACGGAAAAAATAAAGAATAGGAATAAAATAAATGATCATATATAATAATAATTATAATTTTTATTAATATACAATTCATTTCAAATAAAAGGCGTCTACTTGCCAATAACCACCTTTATATAGAATGAAACCTTCATTGTTAACTATAAAATTAAAAATAAAGAAAAAAGCAACAAAAAAATAAATTATCAATATCAAATTTTGTTTAAAGTATAAACATACAAAAAAAAAAAAAAAAAAAAAAAAGAAAAAAATTATATAAAAAAAGTGATCATAATTATTAAGTTGAAATAATGAAAATTAACATTGAGGCAATGCATTAATTCGTACTTTATTAAATAAAAATATGTATATAATTAATGTTTGCGTAAATTTTGATTATTCGTATTAAAAATACAGATCTTATTATAAAAAAATAAATAATAAATTGCAATTAAGTGTAAAAAAATTGTACTAATAGTTTAAATTTTTTTTTTTCTTTGTATCATTTTTTAGAAAGTTCTATTATTGTAATACAAATAAAAATTTTGAATTGTTTCTTTTTCTTGTATAAATTATTTGCATGTATAGTACAATGTTAAATAATAGATAACATTTTCAAAAAAAAATTAACAAATCTAATTCATTTTTCCTATCAGTAAAATATTGTGTACATGATATATTATAATGAAAAAAGATATACTTAATCCAAATTATTTAAATCTTTTTTTCAGTATTTAGAAAAATTTTGCTAAAAAATTAGCATTTCCTGTCACTGATAAGGATGCTGAATAAGATTGGAGCCATTGTCATTCATGCTCACATAAAAGAGCAGCAGTGGACATCAGTCCATGTTCTTGACCAGCTGTGGCACCCTCCCAGAAACGGCCTGAATCTTGGCTTCTAGGAGACAGCAAACCCCTTGAGACTCCTTGCCAGGCCAGCAGAGGGGAGCCTCAGTTCCTTCTAACAGGGCATCACCCACCACAAGCACATGGTGCTTCATTTTACGATATCCACAGCAGGCTACCAGTACGGTTTCTTCTTGCAGATCTTGATTGTGGGTTTCATGGGTGTCTATAGGTATAAGAAGATTACATAGTTTTACAGTGAAGCTGGAGGGTGGAGTCTGAAATGAGCCCTGTTTTATAGGTTACCAGGGGCCAAGCTGGCTCCCTCTCAGTGTTGTACCCTGATGGAACATGATTATTAAACATTGTTTCTTTCTCTCTGTCAGAACATCTAATAATACAAAGATGTTCAACTGCTTCTTGAGGCTCAGACACCTTTTGTAAAACATCATATTATTTGTTAATTTCTAATTTATATTTCCATATTTTTTGTTTTTAACTTATATTATCCTTACTGAAAAAAGAGGGAAATATTTTAGAAATCATTAAAAAAAATATTAGAAATAATTTCTCAATAATTTTTCTTACATTTTTAAAGATACCAAAAATGGATCTTAATTTAAGTGATGCTATTAATATTGATTCTAATAAGAGACTAAATGAGGGAGATTCAACTACAGGTTTCACTCATAGGACAATAAAAGATGCAACTGTTACAAAACGAGAAAATCCATTACACAATTGTTTTTTGAAATTACGAGATGCCATTAAAAAACCATCTAAAGATATAAATTTGGATTCAGCTACATCAAAAAATCTTCTTCATAAAAAGTCGTTAAGTATTTTTCAATTAGTTATCATTATTATTTCTTTCCTTCGTTTTGCGGTAAAATAAATTTTATAATTAAAAACTTTATATATATTATAAAAACAAAATTTTAAATCATTTATAATAATTTACAGAAAACTTACTCTCTTAAATTGAAAGCTAAAAATGAAATGAATGTTAGGTTGCAGAATTTTTACTTTTCTTAACATTAAATTTTTTTAAAAGAAGGATAAGTGTATTATTTTTTTATGTAGTTAACTTAAAATAGGAAATAAAAAAAATTTATAACTTTTTTTTTTATATAGATTTTCATGGTTATGTATTTTCAATAGAACTATTATATTTCATTATCAAAAAGGTTAATAATTCCTTTTATTAACTTATCAATACATATAATGTAGTTTTCATATTTTTACTATACACTTTTTGTTAAAATCCAAGAATTCTAATGCGTACACTTTAATATGGAATTTACAATATATATCTTACATGCACATGTTAAACTTTATAAATTTTATAATTACTCTTAATATAATTAAAAATAGATTGATAATACTATTTATTAACCATTTTACTAATGATAAGTACATAAAAAATTATTAGTTATATGATCAATAAAAATAATTGATGATATTTTTGGACTTTCAATAGAATGAAATAGAATATAGCTAAATATTCAGTTGTACATGTAAGATATTTAAAGCAATGAATAAAAAAAATAAACCAAAAAAAAATTTAAATTCATTTAAATGGTAGAAGAAACTCTACATTCTTATTATTAATCCTTTTATTCAATACTCTAGCAAAGTAATGAATAGGAAAATAATAAAATATTAATTACATTTATTTTACTTATATTATTATTTATATTTAACAATTCAAATTTATTTCTCACAAATTAACAAGCATAAATAATTGAAAAAATTCAAATTAAATTACGTAAGTACTACAAAACACAAAATTTTTATTATAGTTAATATAATATTTTCTTAAATAAATTTAAACAAAAATACACCACAATAAGCTCTATTAGTCATTAACATTTTCTTCTATTTTTCGATCACTAAATTCCTTTAAAAAAAAAGTAAAAATTTATTTTTTTCTGTATTTAAATTACAAAAATAAAAAAAAATATTAACTAATTTTTTTCCTTTTTTTTTTTACTTAGCAATTTCATGTTGGTTTATTAAATGTATTATTAACCTTTTTGATAATAAACAATAATAGTTGTATGGAAAATATATAGTTATACATGCATATTCTAGATTCAAAAAAGAAAAAAAAAAAAAAAAATTAATTGTTAATTTCATTGTTTTCTTTTTCTAATTTTTAAATACAAAAAATTAATAAAATATAAATTATACTATATAAATAGTAGTATATAAAAATTATATTATCATTAATATAAAATTTTCTCATAAAAATTCAAAACATAAATTCCGTACAAAAGACACTCTTTTGTAAAAAAAAAATATTTCTGATATTTTTTTTTTTAACTAGCACTTGCATGGCTCACCATGTATTTTACATATAGATAGCCATTTTCACTCTTAAAAAGGTTAATAATTCTTTTTATTATCCAGCAAGGAATTGTTAGTCTTTTTGAGAATAAAAAGAATTAGCTATATAGAAAATAAATAATTATCCGTAGAAACTCTAGATAAAAAAAAAATAATAGTTGTCAATTTTTTTTGCTTTCTTTTTGTAATTTAAAATAAATAAAAAAAATATTTTTATTTTTTTTTTAAATTGATTGATGATTTAAGAATAGAAGAAGAAATTTAAAAAAAAAAATTCTTTTTAGCCAAATTTTGTCTAAATTTATAAAAGAAAACGCTATATTTACGATAATAAAATTCTCATATTTTATAGTATTTATATAATTTAATTCGTATTTAGTTAATTATTTATTTTTCTTAAGTTGAGAGCAATGAATTGACTGCTAGACATAATTCATAATATTATAAATAAAATTTTATAATAACTTTAAAAAAAAGAAGATTCTAATTTTTAAAAAAAATTTATAAATCATATATTTTATAGTATATTTAATGATAAAAGCGTAATAGCAATTTTAATTTCAAATTAGAGATAATATGAAATTACAAGGTATTACATATATTTAATTGTGATTAAAAATTTTATTTTATTTCAAAATTGAAAAATTTTCTATATTTGTATATAGATAAAGTGATACTGCATCAATAAATGAATGAAAATAATTATAGTTATTATATGTTAAATCTTAGTGATTACTATACGAATAATAAATATAACAAAAAAAAAAAAAAATAATTAATATACACAATTTAAAAAAAAAATTCAATAGTAATATAAGTATAATATATCTATATATATATAATGACTTATAATTATTAGTAAATCTAATTAAAAATATATTGTTTCTAATAATCTATTCGTATAATTATAATAAAAAAAAAGAAAGAAGTGAAAAAAAAAAAAAAATTATAGAATTCTTGTTATAATTATTATAAAAGAATAAATAAAAAATAATATTTTATTCTGTTAGAAATGAAAAAATATATATGCGAGAAATGATCATAAATAATAAATACTTTTTAGTAACACGAAAAATTTTATTCAGTTATACGTATAAAAATATTATGAATATTTATTATCACTCCTTGAACATATAACAATAATATATTACAGCGTTATAACATCGATGTTATTTTAATATAAAAAATTATTGTATTTTTCTTTTTTTTTTTTTATCTCTCAATACAAATAAAAAATTAAAAAAAATAAATTGAATTATTATTTAAAAATATTTTTTCTTATCTTAGATATAGTGTTAATTTCTTTTGTAATCTTTTATTTACGTATATTAATTAATTAAAATGATATGCAATTTATTAAATCTAAATATTTTTTTAAAATGATTCAGAAATGAAAATATTTAATAGAAAAAAGTTTATATATATATAAATTTTAATGTAAATAGATAATTATATATAATTTTTTAAATGAATGTATACGAAGTATTTTTTTACATGTTGTATAACAGATTAACAATTTATGTATAATTATATAAGTAATTAATTAAAAGAATATTTCTATTCAATGGGCTTTTGATTTTCATCATTTTTAATTAATACAAATACAAATATTTCCGTGAAAAGATAAAAGTCAAACTTAAAATTTAGAACATAAATTATAAATAATATTTTATTACAAAAATAAATTTGAATTTTGTTATTTTTTTTTTTTACTCAATTTTATCATAAAATATATATTAACTCATTAAAATGACAAATCAACATTTATATAGAAAATTCAGTGATTAATCTAATTTTATTAATTATCACAATTATACACACTTGAATATATAACATTAAAGGGATATAAAATGAACATTTAACACACCATAAAAAAATATCGTTAGTAAAATATTATAATATTTTTACTGTTTTACATATACAAATATAATTAACAATTCACTTTAAGTTATGAAAAAAAAGATGCAACTAAAGAAAAAAATTCATCATATAAAATAAACATGAATAAATATACTAAAAGAATATGTGTAAAATTCTTGGGCACTTAAGTTCAAATACAATACCACGCTTTTAGCAAATTTTTAATTTATCCTTATTATAATTTATAATATAATGAGATTCTCATTTATTTTTTTTTTTTTATAGTAACTATATACAATTAAAATGTTTAATAAAAAATTTTGCTAAACATAAATATTTATTTTTATAATTTTTCACTTATATATATATATATATATATATGCATCAATAATTAGGGATTACTAACATTTTAAAGGATCTTAAGAATATTAATGTAAAAATAAGATATATTTGCACATATATTTCATATTAATGAATTAAGCAATAAACTATCTAAAAAGGATTCAATGGTTAATTTACTAATTGTTTATTTAAAGAACTTTATGAAATTTTTTGTAGAAAAATGAATGGCATAAAATGATTTAAACTAATTTTGCTTATTATAAATATATTTTTGTTATAAATAAACTCATAATTGATTTACATAACATGCAACAAATATTTTTATTTCATATTATATCTATAATTATTTAAATAAAGATATATTAAGTTTTTTAACTATTTATAACATATATTTACTTTATAAGACTCATTTATCCAATTTAACCAAACAATTTATTTTTATTGAAACTTATATCCATGTTATAAAATCCTTTAATAATACATAAAATATTTTTATTGTCTATAATTTATATTGCCACATAAAAAAAATAAATTCTCATAAAAATAATAATAATTGAAATTCACTTAAAAATAAAAAGAAAATTTATATTTTTATTTAACATGAATCACTCTTAACAAAAAATAAAAAATTAAAATTAAAATATAAATATAAACGAATGTATAGCATCAATGAAAAAAAAAAATTAAGCCTTTATTTTAATTTTTATAAATACTCTACAATAATTTTGACTAGTTAATATATTTGCTTATATATTTTAAATGAATAGGTAATTTATTATGTTACGTGATATATCTAATTTTGATTCTTAAAAAGGTTAATAATATTTTATTGACTATTGATATAAAAATATAATTTTCTTTTTAAATTATTTTTTTTAGGAATAAAAGAAAAAAAAAAATTTTTGTTTTCTTTAATATTTAATTAACGAATTTAGTAATGAGTTACATTTATATAAAAAAAAAAAATAAAAGTATTTAATTATAATATTTTTATATTTTAGATATTTTACTGTTTTAAATATTTCTTGAGTTATGCTAATATTCTATATTAAAGAAAGCAAATGTATAATGCTTAATTAAAAGTTAAATTTAATATATGAATTTATTATAAAAATTTAGAACTTACAATATTATAAACCTTTTATCAATAGAAATATAGTTGAAGGGTTCTTAATTGGATGATAAAACTCAAAAAATTCTAGAATATTATCTTTAGATATTTAATAAAGACATAAACAACAAACGGCTATAATAATAAATTTATTAAACTGGAATTTTTATATTTTTATTGGGAATTCATTAATTTAAAATAAATTTATGCTTATTATAATCTTA